GTCGCGCGACTGGTCGTGGACTATGAAAGATGCCAGTTTGACGACATCGCTCAAAGGCCTAGTCCACGATAATTCCAGGTTATTCAGTTCGACGTATTTAGAGAAATGTGATGCTTCAAAAAAGTTGTAAAATTAGGAGTTGGACGAAAATATGATGGAAAAAATGGCGTGGAAGAGGTGTTCGAGTAAGCTGTCCACAACGGGGGTCCGCAACTTACGTGCGTCCGAGGATGCGCTCGGAATATGGCTCGGCGAAGTTCGTGCGAATTGAACGACTTTAAAGCCTATCACTGATTGTGAGGCCCGAATTTGAAGTAGAGTCGATTGATAGGATCGGCTGTTCCTACTAAACTACTCTACTACGAGCTTGTCCCAATAATAGGCGCCACAGCCGTTCGAATCGCCACGCAATGTGCCGCGCTCATTCTCGGACGCACCCATACAAGTCCGCAACACCTACAATTGCGTATAGCGTACTTATTAGGCGCTGACAAATCATATTTAATCCATTCTTACTGATCCGCTACATGGTGGATATTCCGGGGCATCTAAGCGTCCAATGGATCCGAAAGAAAGATAATTTCCACCATCCCACCTTGAATATCCCCTCATCATTCGGCAATCACTAATCGGATGCTAAACGTGTGGGTCCTGGCGCGAATAGCGCAACCTGTATCGCCTCCGCAACTCTTCTGAAATATCATCGGTCGATAGGCGCGGACGTCGACGAGTCCGGTTATGGGACTCATTTTATGCCTTACCTATTGAATTTTCGGCCCGACAGCGTCTTTTGTGTCACCCTTCGGAGCCATTGGGTAATTCTAAGGGGAAATCTTCGAAACCAATTTTATCGTGAACTGTGCTTTGGAAAGTCGAAACACAACCTTCGTCTTTAATGACTCCATTTCATCATTCTCTCTAATAGCTTCGAGACAAACCCCCTAGTTTATTCTGCCTATATCCGCTGCTTCTTGACGACGTCTCTCTTCATAGTCTGACATAAATTTGGAATATGATGGATGATAGATGGTATGTGACGGATCACATCCATAAAGTACAACTTCTTGAAGGTCTGCTGATCCTTCTTGCTGATCTCCCTCATTCGTGGCATCACGTTTCGTGCTATAAGGCTCCAGATCTGCGGCCACATTCCAATATCTTCTTCCTTCTCGATTAAATTAAGGTCAGAAGATCCGCCTTCCAACTGAAAAGACTGATTTTTCTCTCTTAAAGCTACTCCTTTGTTGAGCGGCTTACGTGTTCAGCAGAATTGCTACGTTGAACTTTGAAGTTCATGGATGGAACCGCTGCAATGTGCACCAAAAAATTTGGAAGGATGGACTACAGCCACTATTAAAAGATCCATTCATGAGAACAGATTCATACTCACGCAATGGCCCAACCATAAAACTACCACCAGCGAATCCGCTGTCAGAAAAGTAGCATGACCATTTGCTGAAGTCGCACACAGGCATCAGATCTATCCAAATTGAATTTTCCTTTACATAAAATAAAATTTCTGGGACAGTACGATGTATGTCACAACGTTAGAAACCCACCACCGTGAAAGATGTCATCCCACTTCCTGCGCGAATAGCTCGAACTACCTTGTGCCAGCGCGTCAAACATGGTGCTGTGGAAAACTGTGCTTAGTACAATGTCCAGACATGATTTGAATAGACAATAGACCGTAGTTTCCGAATTACCGAGGGCCACCTCCTTACTTAGCCGTTGACCCGCCTAGAAATGGATGCAACATGGGCAACAAGACGCTTCTGTCCTCTAGAAACTTCTCTAGGTCTTCCACTACGTATTACCATGA